TAACTTTGATAAAATATCACATTTTCAGTATAACTAGTTTTTAACTGATCTCAAAATTTCTAATTTTTATGTAAGAAGTGGCATTTTCATTTAAAAAATAGTATTAAACCTTAAAAACATGTATTTATTATTATTACAACTTTACTCTCAATCACTGTATAATTCCACGCCCGTTATTAAGAATGACTCGAAAATCTTTAAATATACATTAGTATAGGAAATTGCAAGATCTTAAGTACAATTCGGAATTTATGTTTTTGAAAGTTTTCAATTTGAGAACTTTCAAAACATCACAAGTATCTATAAATTCTGAATTGTATGAGAAGATTGTGTGATTTTTTGGTTATAATACACTCAACAAAATTGAGCAACTTGATTGGGGCTCTACAGAGTACAATTTGGGATTTAACTGTAAGTCTCCTCTTGTCCAATCAGAACCGTGTCAGAACCGTGTTGAGTATAAATCACACAAATTTGAATCACCACAAGGTATTTAAAAGTGTAAATTATCCTAAATAACATTCAATTCATTTTAAAAATATCATAATAAGAACCCTGATTCTTTCTTTGTCATTTTACTATCCTACCTGCATTAAGACTGCCTTTTTCAAACTCAAAAGGCTGGCTACTATTGAGATCAAATACTCTGGTAACCAGTACTTCTGCCTCCACAAAGTCCCTTTACTTTGTCAACGGTAAAAACACAACCTTCCTAAAAATCCAAAAGTATTTTAACTGGGTTATATGGAGACATTTACGCAATGACACAATGGATTTTCAGATGACTAGTTCTTCTTTTGTAAAAAGTCTCTTGTTTAACTGTCAAATATAACACCCTTAGGAACTGGTCATAAAGTAAAGGGGGTGGAGGGGATGGGGGGAGGAGGGCTTAACACTGGAGTCCAAGGAGCTCTTTTTTTTCTGGCCAAGTAGACAGCCCACCACTTTTAAGAATTTCAAAATTGTATGATGCACCCCCCCTGTTTAAAAAGTTTACTTTATGACCAGTCAGTTACATAGTTACTTATTACAATTTCCTTACTACATGCCCATTTCACATTTTTTGTATTTTGCACTTGGTTTTCATAGATCGAAGAAGCAGTAGGGGGCAGTATATTTTATGTCTATAATTGTTGGAAGACTATTGCCAGCTTAGAAGTATAGAATTGTATTAAAAAACACAAACTGTAATGTCAGTTTTTATATTTTTGTAAAATAAAGTTGTTTTGGCATTTCAGGGACGCAAACAAAATGACAATTTTTGTGATTTGCCCCCTCCCCCTTTGGAAAATTCTGGCTACACTCCTGCTAATGGAAGAGCCCCTTAGGGGTCAGAGATAATGATAATAATATATATATAATTATAGTACGAAAGGATAATTACCTGCATAAGCATGAATAGATCAGACCAAAAGGGGTAATTAGGCAACAGCTCCTTCCCTCTAGCTCCTCTGGTCACTTTAAGAAATAGCATCCCGCCCAGCAAATAGATCACCAACACACTGAAAAAACTGCATGCATGGTATTTGTAACATCAATAACAAAAACAAATATCAAGTTTTGAAGTTCAACACTTTTTTCCTATGTAACCAAAAATCAATTGATTATACTCCCTTTAAACAAAATATTATATGATCAGATACAACATTCAAAAATAAAGTCTCAAAAATACTTAAGTGTTTGACTGTGCCAAGACAATAAGCAAGGGGTAATATGGTTATAATTGGACTAAAGGTAAAGCAATATGGGCAACAAAATCATGCAAGCTGTAAGCTGCAGAGCAAAATTAATGTTGTTCATATTACAACTGCATGCAACAAATCTGCACTGTTGCACAAAGCAAAAACTCTGTTTACTCTTTATTTTTTGCAACGATAAAAATGTGTTGTGCAATAAAAGAGTTTTGAGCAAGAGAACTGAGGCTAACTGAGAAACCACGAACTCAAAACTGGAGTATTCATTAAAACAATTAGCCATCAATAGTAGCAAGAATTTACACCAATTATGTATTTCATGGCCAGCCTTGATCTATGTTTTCTTGTGGGCTTAGCCCACAACTTAATTTGTAAACTAAACACCTACATGATAAGCAGTACTGATCCAGTGCTAAGGTTCTTGTTTAGAGGACAAGCATATTTAGAATGTAATGTTGCTTTCTGATGAACAAAAGAAAAAAAAAATGACTGAATAAAAAATATATATGTGTGGTTGTAAGGTAAGCTATTATAAACAATACAGCTGACCACTCATTAATACGTTATCACCCACTTACCGACATCTTAACTGTTATGTTACTCACACCGTGGAAACATGTTAACGTGAATATTAAAAAATACCATCACTAGTTGTATCCTATTGTCTTGTTGTAATCAAATACCACCCCTGACCGTGTTTCCTTAAACCCTGGCTAAATGATGAGACATGTTTCCATGAAGCATGTAAATAGGAAATTTTTCTGCCACACTGCAGAAACATGTTTTGCTTCTTTGAAACAACATTTGTCACATTGCAATTTTCTGGTCACACTTAGCTAAACTGGGAAACATCAAGGATGCATACATGCAGTAAACATGTTTTCTCGTTTAGGCAGGGCTCTAGAAGGACTGTCTGAGTGTTATGTCTGGCCCCTTGACATTTATTTGTGGTTGTCTAAAGCAGTTTTATAAATGCCTTTTCAACTTGTGCGAAAACGCATTTGTGCAAAATGACCAGTGCCCTTTTAACAGATGATAGGCATTTTTTAATGAATGTGACAAACTTCAACACAGGGACATAGGGTTGGCTCAATCATTTCTGAATCAGGTAGATATGCACACCTAATAATACTCATGGCAATAATCAACAGCATGACCCTGACATTGGAGGGTATCAACCAATAGCATACTGTACTATTAACCTACCAACATCCTACATCTAACAGCCTACTGATACCTGCTACCAATAGTTAGACTACCGACAATTTACTGATACCCAAATTAAGTACCCAATAGCAACCAAAGTAAGTACCCAATAGCCACCAATTTGGGTATGTATAATTACGTTTAGTATTAGGTACATAATTATACAGCTTCTCATTAATCCCATATAGGTAACTGTCCAATTATTTTCTTAATTGGACAGGTCTTTTGATATGGGATTAATTAGGCAGCTATATAATTAATAGGTAATGGGATTTCATGCTCCCCAATCAAGAAATAATTCGACTTGAAAAATTCCTCTGACTGCCAAATTGGACTCGACCTATGGCCTCATCCAATTTTGGAAGTCCTCGGAATTTTCCTCGTCCAATTATTTCTTAATTGGACAGCATGGAGTCCCATTACACATACTTATACTCACAATTATTTCAGAGTCTTGTGAATGGATAAATTCATCTATTCTTCCTTCTTCGTCTTCATTGCAGTTCAAGTTTATTTGTACTTGCCTATCATAAAAGATGACTAAATCAATATTCCAATTTGTAATAAAGGCAGGATGATATCTGTTATCTGATATTAATTTTGATATCTCTCTGAGGAATGCGTTTGTTTGGCTTTCGAAAAATGTATACTTTTGTGGCAAAACATTGTGGGGTTCATGAGGAATTATTGTAAAAGTAAGAAAATCTGTTTAAATAAGAACAAATAACAAAACGAACAAACAAATAAACAAATAAACAAACAAACAAACAAACAAACAAACAAACGAACAAACAAACGAACAAACAAATAAACAAATAAACAAACAAACAAACAAACAAACAAATAAACAAACAAACAAAAGAGGATATCTGTTGGCTTGAAAAGTACACAATTATGTAACTCTTTGCAAGCTAAGAATACCAGTGAATATTCAGTGTTTGCCATAGCTTACGTTGCTAGGGATATGAAATGACCAGTATATGTAATAGAACAATCGCCAGTACCACCGTCAAGTTGAAATCTAGTAGTGTTAGCTTTTCCTACGCCATAATATAAGGTTTCTCCTGAATTAACATGGAGCAAACAAACCTAAAAACAAGCCACAATAGTATTAATACCTACACAATGGGAATACTTTGGAAAACAATAAAGTGATGGTTATCATGATGGTGATGCCAAAAAAGCTTTAACAATGATGGTGGATGATGATATCACTTCATGATGGTAGTAGTGCTTGTAATGGTAATGGTATGTAACAGTGATGGTGATGGTGAAGGTAATGGCAATACTGATATTGATGGTGAAGGTAATGGCAAAAGTGAAAGTGATGGTGATGGTGTTTGTGAAGGTAATGGTAATAGTATAAACTAATTACGATTTTGAGACGACAAAATCATGAAATATTGATGGCTAGTTGGGAGAAAATATATTCAGTGTTGGGTGGAGTCGAGAAGCGACGGAGCCCAATACCGAATATATTTTCTTCCAACACTGTCAATATTTCTTGGTATTGTCTCTCAAAATCGTAATTAGTTTTGCATCATGATTCTAAAGAATTTAACACAAAAAAGGAAAAAAACTGACCGATTCTTGGTGATTAAAAGCCAAATTCTCCTTACAAGGGCGCACTATGGTACAAACAACAAGCATACAAATTTGACGTGCTCGCCCTCAGGCTTTCCTTTTTGTCGTGCATTGGCCAATCAGAAACCTTAATTTTGAAAAGAAAATACCAGAAAATATTGTTGACTCAAAAATACGAGAGACTATTTAGTGAATCGCAATACTGACAGTATTACTGATGGTGATTGTAAAGGTAATGGTAATAATAGTGATAGTGACAGTGATTAGGAAGGTAGTGGTAATAGTGACAGTGATAGTGAAGGTAATGGTAATAGTGACAGTGATGGTGAAGGTAATGGTAATAGTAACAGTGATGGTGAAGGCAATGGTAAAGTAATAGTGACAGTGATGGTGAAGCTAATGGTACAGTAATAGTGACAGTGATGGTGAAGGTAATGTTAATAGTGACAGTAATGGTGCTAGTCATTGATGGTGATATGTACATCAGATGTTGATTAAGTGACAGTAAAAGTAAAAGTCAGATGGTGATAGTGACAGTAATGGTGATAGTCAGTGATGGTGATATGTATATCAAATGGTGATAGTGACAGTGATGGTGAAGGTGAAGGTAATGTTAATAGTGACAGTAATGGTGATAGCCATTGATGGTGATAGTGACAGTGATAGTAAAATTCAGATGGTGATAGTGACAGTGATGGTGAAAATGAAAGTGAATGTGATGGTCACTCACTGGTAGGTGGTGATGACAAAGGATCATTCATATTTTTGTACCCAACATCTTCATTTAGGTGTTTGAACAGCAAACTGTTTATCATGGGAAACAGTCAACATATATTGTCTCTCACTCCCATGATTACACAGGAAAAAAACTGGATTCCCAAATTGGGAATTGTTGGGAATTACCTTGAATTCCCAATTTGAACACCAACGTTGGGATTTATTGTTGGGAATTTCCTTCTAATATGCAATAGAAAAACAAAATTCCCAACAAACTAACATTGGGAATCAGTGCCACGTTCCCAATTTCGTTCTCTCTGGGAATTGGATGGGAATTCAAGGAAATTCCCAACAAATTCCCAATTTTGGAATCCGGTTTTTTTCCTGTGCTAAAGCTGTTGAATATAATATATATCAAGTACACTTACTGCTACATCTTTACATTCATTAGTTCCAGATGATGCATTTTCTGTCCAAGGGTTGCAAGGGTTCCAAGAGTAAGTATTATCTTTATTTTTTTCTTCCTTGATATTGCTAAACCTGCGCCGCACAAAAAAAAAAAAAAAAAAATTATCACTGTACTTTTTTCAATTTAAATGAACTAGAAACGAATGACAAATTCCTTTCATCTATTCATCATATGACAGCTAAATGATAACACGTATGACGGATTAGCTTTAACAGGAAAAGTTATCAAATTGACTTTTAAAAGTTCTTGGGAACACGAGAGAACTAGTTGCAAAAACTGAGCTATGTTTCATACCTCGGAGGTTTTCCTGTTTCAATGAGAGGCCACAAGTTAATATTGCCTTTATCTGTAGAGGCTTTGCATGCATCAATCATTGAACATTTTGATAAAGACAAGACTGGCGGTAAAAAGGTCGATAAAAGTGTACAAACTAGTACAGCAAGTACAGGCACCTTCTCTTCCGCCATTTTCCACTTTATCCACAGGGAACCCAAGCCCGCATTCTTGCTTGAGGAGGCAAGTTTGTTCAGCAGTTTGGTTCGTTCAGTATGGGGCTATAATCTTCCTATTACATGGGTAAACTCTTCAAAACGCTGCTTCTTTTTACCAAGTAAACAAACCCAAGATTTCCTATTTTTCACTACTTTACATTTGGGCTACCTGCGTTCCTGGTGGCCCTGGAGACTAGGACTAGGGAAGAATCGACAGGAACGCCCTTCGTATTTCAGCTTTTTGGCTGGTTTTTGATGCTTATTCATACATTTGTGGCAGAATTATATCTTTAATACCATCTTAAAGCCCGATATTAGTCTCATTGATCATTTAGTAATACTTTCTCACTTTATGACTAAGTTGTGGATTGATCGGGAATGAGGGAAGCATAGTGTTTCATCCACTTCCTCAAGGTATGGACAACAAAATATCAGAGCAAGAATCAGATGGTTCTGATACTGAACCAGCGATTTCTTCGAGTCCCGAACCTCCAGCTGGCCTTCAATTTAATGCAATTATTCCATCGAACTTTGGTAACGAATACGAGATAGCCTACCCGTACAAAACCGACGACAGACCACAACACGTTAATAAGATTCTACCTTCACATGTAAGACACAAAGCACAGGCTTACGTCAGGCGTTCAACCGTGGGACATAAATATTTACTTCAGAAAAAGCTTAGAGAAGCAGCAAATGATTCAGACTGGGCTTCTTTGTGTCAGCTGCTTGATGCTGGTGTTGATCCTTCGAGTGCTGACTCTAAAGGTAGAACGGCGTTGCATTTTGCTGCTACACAAGGAGATGAAAGTACTGTTAAGGCATTACTTGGTCACAGAGCAAATGTCAATGCTAGGGACTTGAATGGAAATACGCCTTTGCATCTTGCTGCTTGTTCTAATCACATCAAGATTGTCACTCTTCTCCTTCAAGCTGGTACAAACTTAAATGCTCTCGACTACACAGGGAGAACTCCATTAGATGTTGCAATGTCTCGGCTTAAAATACTACACAGTGACAAGTTTGTGCGAGGTGCACCGAACAAGTACAGGGATGAAGTAAAGGAAATAACTGACATGTTGAAAGAATATATGAACCTAACTGGGCTGAAAGATGAAGAGAAAGAACTTGATAATCTGTGTAAAAAATTGGATTCAACAATAACCATTGAAGAAGTAAGTTGGGTTACAACTTTAAGAGTATTCTTGCAGCCACAGGACTCAAAATCCCTCAAGATATTTCCACTGTTGTATCAGTAAAAAATAAAATAAAAAAAATCAACACTACCTTCCCCAATTATTTTTCTCATGCAACAAGAATCACACTTAATTTTTTGTTTGGCCCTATGGTGCAACATGCACTCTAAGAATATGATCCTAAAACTCCTTTGTAGACCAGATCAACCAGGCTAGATCAAGAGACCATGGCCTCTTGGCTACATATGTTATGAAAAGTGGTAACCATGGTAACATTGCAATATAGACTTCAGGACTGTTATAGGTAGGGTTAGGATAACAATACAGTGCTATCCTGTACACATGGACCTATTGGCACTTATGTCTAAGTAGGGAAGGAATTATTCCATACTTTTATAGATATTCATCTGTGTTGGGATGTAGAATTAATAAAGATATTTTGAACTTTGATATTTTGAACAAAGAGTTTGTCAAACATTCTAGGCAAATAATTCTTGTTTTGCGATAAAAAGTTGAAAATATCTTTTAATTATGAAATATTCACTACTTTATACCAAAAGAACCCCTGTTGACTATCAGGCTTTATGCTTTGACTTTGAATTTGGTGTATGTACCTATTTCACAAAATGTTGTCGGATCTCAAATCTGAAACAACTCATCAGCGCAGGTCATCACACAGAGGTGGTGGCATATTTAAGTATAAACTTGTTGCAAACTACTATAAATTCAAAAAATAAAACAATTACCACTTTCATTCATATTTAATTTCACAGCTAATACCCCACAATTTAATGCATGTCTCAGATTTTGGATCTTCTGCTGACAACGTTTTTTGAAATAAGTGTCTAATAAAATATATTCGGGTTTATAATAGGTATACATTGTTATATTTTGGAACAATTATTTCAATAATATGTTTATCCCTTTTTTTGCTAGGTTGATGAAGTTCATGAATTGCTATCAAGCCTCACAACATTAAGTCTATCAAAAGATAACAATTAATAATATCCAAAATTAGAAAATGACATTAAAATTGGTGTCTGCTTCCAAGGGAGAAGGCATGACATCTTAAACTATCGTAATGTTTCACTCAGAACACCAAAAGTTTTATCCTTTAGTATGCTTCTTTCAGAAAATAATAACTACAGCACATTTCATATTTTTGCCTAACAGACTCCATACCTCTGGCATTTTGGCCTCAGTCAATCAAATTTATGACAGGCCAAGTCCTATCCTATTCATTCCAATCGTGAGTGATAAATATTCCCTTGACTTAAAAGCCATTTTTCAATTGGAAATAGGCTGTCGAGTCATGAGAATATTTATCACTCACAATCAGGATCGATCGTCATGAATTTGTTTGATTTGAGACCAAAACAGCCAAACGTCTGGAGTCGGTTGGGTCACAGAAACATAAAACAGACTAAAAAATAAAAAGGATTAGGTTTTAAAACTCTCAAAATCTCAATCAAATAATCGCTAATTATTTTGGAAAATAAACCTTTTTCTAGAGTCGAAAGGATTGGTTTATTTTCTTGTTTGGCCTGCACATTTTCTAAAGGCTGTGACAAATTTATCATCCATCTCATAATTCAAATAAATGTCTTCCATTTCATCCTGTCTTTTTAGTGTCCCATAGAATTTCGTCTTTTGCCCTTCATTTTGACCCTTGACCTTAAGTATCATCTTCTGATTCCATATTTTCCTTTGCAGGGTAGCCTTGGGATTGTCGTCTTACTTTCTGTAGTCTTTGTGCTACAACTTTCCCCTGTTCTTGTTCATCGACTACAGTTTCAGATTCCTTTTGGTTTTGTTCCATGCTACCTTTGTCCGTTGATGACAGGAAGTTATATCTATATTTACTGTGAGATTTAGAATTATTTTGTTAAGAGCATCCGTGTTTTTAGTGGGAAATTATGACAGTATTTTATTTAAAAGCATGTCAAGAAAACCTACCCATCCAATTTGAGTCTCTTAACTAGTATTATTGCAGCAGCTATCACCAAAGTCAGTAGAGCAGCTATAACTCCACTTGTTAAACCTGTGACGGCACCAGCTGTCCCTAAAAAAGAAGCCTTGTTTCCTGGAAAGAAACCAAAGCAAAGATTTTGCTCCAAGGTGTGTTGGGGCATTTTTTTAGTGACCACACCTCTACTCTTAATTCTGTGAATTGATAGATTTCTCATTGACTGATGAAAATGGTGTGTGCACCAGTTAAAATATATCTTGATTTCGATGAGCTCCAGATAAACCACTACATGTATGAAAGTCTATACACTGAGGCAAACTAAATTAAACAGTCACATTATTTAATTAGAGTGATTTTTGGGTTCGCTTAAATCCCCCAAAAAATATCGAGCAAGCATTTAACCTATGAAAAAAATTTTGTGCAAGCTCTCCTTTCAGATTAAGAAATACCTAGCAAACACACAAAAAAATGTTTGCAGGGGCTGTTATTAGAAAAAAAATCATGCGACATAAATTCCTTCAACGTCCCCCCCCCCCCCCCCCCCCCCCCCCCCCCCCTCATTACCTAATGGTCCCATGCATCCCTAAACATTCCTCAGAGTTTTGTGCTGTGTGTGCATTGGTTGGTGGATTTAGACGGTGGATAGATGGATAGTTGTGAGAGTGGATAGATGAATAATGAATGATAATGTTAAATTGATGTAACTAATTCACCTCGTAATTCAGATATGACATCAACAATCTTTCGGCCTTTCATATGGGCTGGTTCTGCGCATCTTAACATTTCATAATCAAATACTCTTAGATTTGAAGCCCCAGTCTCCAATTTAACATCCGTCATCGAATTGATCAAATCTTTTATTTCTCCTACTAAGTTGGTGTCATCGCAGGAAAATGAATTGTTTGCAAGGTACCTTAAAAGAATCAAAAATGTATAGAAAATAATTATACTTGACCTAACTTGATCAAACATACGCCATAGTATATGGTTGTTGCAAATGTACTAATAGAAAGCGTTTGCGCTGTTTGCATTTATAAAGCACGCTGGGGTTGACAGAACGTGTTTGGAGGAGAAGTATGACCTCTTGTATTCTGCCAATTCCCAACTGTTTAAATTATAATTTCACACACCTCAGCAAGCAATTTTTTAATTTCTTATATTAAACACTTAGAGTGCTCACACTAAATTCGTGAAACAAATACTAATTTTTAGCAATAGAAAACAAAGGATTCTGTATGAAATAGTACTAATTAGTACTATTTAATGTTCACGGTTTTAGTGCGTGCACTCTATTAGAACAGCCATTATTCTGGATCCAAATAAAGAAAATAGAAAGTGTGCACACGTGCTATATACTCTCATGCTGCACATGCTCCCAATTAATCAAAATGCGAGATTTATAATACCTCATATTGCATAAAACTTTCCTGAAAATTTCATCGACTGGTACTGGCACCTCCACTGAATTGCCCATTTTACCGTATATATCAAATACTTTGATGGAATAAAAATATATGGCTGAAGGGGGGGTGGGGTACAGCACCCGTTTGCCCCTCCCTGGATCCACCCCTGATCAATTTTTAAATTTTCTTTTAACTAACCTACAATTATTGAATAAAATATTCTAAAATAAAATAAATGGAGGTCTTTGAATATCTATTACAACTTACAGAAGTCTAAACTTTCTTTGGCTAAAGATTCCTCTAGGAAGAGTTTTTATATGGTTGTTTCGCAGATCTCTGAAAAAAAAATGCATAACAGATTTGTTAACATTTCAATACTATAACCATCATAAATGTTACGATACGATGAACAACTTACAACTCAATTAACGAATTTTGATTGTCCAACGCTGCTCTGTCAATGTTCGTTATCCAGTTATTCTTTAGGACCCTAAAACGAAGAGCGATTTTTGTTATTACCGCAGAAATGTCCTTTTTTCCATATTACCTTCACAAATTCATGAATAATTCATAATGCAACAGTCAATTGAAACCACCCCGCCCCGATCTCCAGGGCTAGGAAAGTATCATTTGTATTTGACCAGTGTTAAAGTGACGCGTTTCCCCTAGCCACATGATGAATACACATGATTTGATCAACATTTTTTTTCAGATTTATAATTAGAGTGCACCTTTTTTTTAAATTTATAACTAGAGTGCTAGCCTAGCCTTGAGTCTATCTTCCTCTGGATCAGTCGGCTTCAACAGTCTCCTGGTGTTTAGTTTTAAAACCCCCAATGCAACTCTCGCACTCGTTCAGTGATTGCTTCTTAAAAGATTTAGATTTGACATTTAATCAGAGACGTGCAATGCGACGTGACCGTAACGAACCTTTATGAATGCATTTGGATGTCAGCATTCAGCTGAAAACAAATTCGCATAAATTTGTGAAAGTCACTGAGCAACGAAAAACTTGGAATTCTGTCAGCCGCCACTCAAGCACATAAAACATGATAAGGGGTACCGACTGATTATTTTTGATTTTGCGGCAGCGAAAAACCAAATTTCAGCGTGCAGCTTCATTCTCAGAAAATGGAAACCCGCAGTAAAATTAGAAAGTTTGTTTATGTAATGCGGGGCTAAAAAGCGTGCGCGCGCTACTTCAAAACTTACAGTCCTTTCACGGTTTCATAGCCCGATGCTAACATCATCGGCTTCATTTCTTTTATCCTGCTTCCTGACATGTCTCTGAAATCACATCAATCGTATTATGAACAGCAAATAGTACTTCTTGGTGAAATTCTTATCAATATACCACCACCACCAACAACAACAAAACAAAATGCAATACAACACTGAAACAGACGTGCTAAAAAGGCAAAAAAATATCTGGAAATCATTCTGATTTCGTTTCACCCTGAATACTTACAAAACACGCAACCGATTCGTGGAAGCGTAGTTACGAGGAAAGTCATCCCGCGTTGTATTTGCACACGTGATGCGCGCTGGATTAAGTGTAGGGGCACATGTGCAACCCGAAAATTCGGAATAGGGACATGGCCCTTCTTGCTCGCTCACTATTCCACTGATCGCATGAAAGAATAGCAAAATTCTAATTTGCCATCCATAATGCATATTATTTTGTACAACCAATGGCTGCTATCAAAGATAGACTAGCATGTAATTGGTTCATAGAGTGTTCATTTGACTTTTGTGACGTCAAAATTGCAAATGACATCATATAATATTGTGACGTCAAATTCGTAGGCTACGTAAGCAGTCTTTCAAATTTTCTTATCCGCAAAAGCTATTATTATGATTATGATGAAAAAAATATATTTTTTCTTCAAAAAGCCCAATCTCACAATTCTCCAACAACCCAGCTTGTAATAAAAAAAAAAAGATTAGCAAACAAGCGTAACGACTTTATCATACAGATAACGAGAGATGCGTGCTTGCAGCTGGAATATACGAAAATATAAGCAAAAAATTGAAGAAAAATCGAGAAAAAAAGAACGCATTATGGGACTTCAATACTTTTTAGATAACATACAAATTTCTCACGCGCTGATTGGCTATTTTTTATCATCAATACTGAAGAGTACAGACAAATAAGCGGAAGTCTCAAGCACCCGCTTATCCTGTTTGTTGTTTTGCTCACTAAAAACGATAAGTTTTTATCGTAACGACGTTACGATAAGTTTTTATCGTCTTGCTGTTGATTGGATTTTGGTTTCGTAAAACATATATATCAATTAAGAGGCCATAGGACAGTGCCACACACCCCTTTATGGGGATGTCACTATTCTATGTGGTTTTAAGTTGATAAGAGGTTTTTTTAAATCAAACTAAGATGTATGAGGTCTTGGGAGATCCTCCAAGTACAACGCTTGCTTAAAATGGAAATCATTTCCTGGCAATTTTAACTATGGTATACAAATTTGTCCTGAAAACCAGGCAGGAATGAATATTTGTATGCGTCGATGACGTAACGATGAAAGCCAAAATACCTGTCACAACTCAACTGACATCGATAAAAATAACATATACAGCAGGAAGCGTAAGATCCTATAAAATCCTTTCTTATCTTTCTTGGTATTGTATTGTGTTCCTAGAATTTCCTATCATTCCGAAAGTATATTTTTAGTCGGATTATTTTCGGACATTTTCGGCATGATTGAACAGTACTCGGAAGAACCCCGGAAGATATCGGAGAATGTCGTGAACGTCATCAAAACCCTCGAGTGATTTCCGTCTGCATTCGATTCCCTGGCAAAGAGAAAACAAGAGTGACTTGAAGAGAGTTTTTCTCTTCTGATCCCAGTCTATATGAGATCTTCTGTGCATTAACACTTAGAATTACGAATGGCTGATTACTACGAAATACTAGAAATTTCAAGGAGTGCAACTGAGGCGGATATCAAGAAAGCGTAAGTGAGCTAGAGACCTTTCGTTTAATGCACACTGAACGTCCTGTCGATTATTATTATGACTGGCTAATTTTATCAAACTTTTATTTGTAATCCGCGTGTTTATGTTATTCAGAAGCGCTGTATTTAAAGCCCCCGAGAGTTCACTGCAGATTATGTCTAACAAACGTCGTTGGGTCGAGGGAGAAGAACAATGAGAATTCCTTCTCGACACACTGCATGTTTGAATTATCGAATAGCTTACTTGTTTCTAGGACTCGACTTTCAATGGTCTTTAACTAGTTTTTTATCCGTGTTTTTACTGCTGAAGTTTTTCTCTTCGTGTATGTGGTCTTAGCTGTGATTTTAGCCCATTCGTAGTCAAATCTATGCATATCTATCGAAAATATTTGAGTTGGTTAAATTTGGTAAATAAAGCTCCCAATTCTGACGCGTCTTATCTTACATCATTACTTTTTATTTCACACAGCTTTCGTTTTGAAAGATTTCATATTTTTCCATTTACGTTTATATAACTAAAACCCCTTAAGACTCCAACTACCTAAAAGTTTGGAAATAGTTGACCGAATTTTTAAATAATTTAGTACAAACTGAACTCTAAGCTTATGTGCAAGCGACGCCTTCCACGACATTTTAGCATAATTTCATCTAGCTTTCATAGTTTTCTTAGAAAATATCCTGTGTTAAAAACACGATCCTGTATTGATTTTTATACATGCCCGTTGTTGGCTGGCAGCTTCACCTAGAAATTTCGTATTAACAATTATGATTTAATTGTTTTATGGCTGATTAACCATTGACTATAGAAATACGCGTACAATCTCTTCAGCAGACGTACTTACGTACATATAATAGTAATCGTTAGAGGAAATTACATTATGGTCGTCTAATACAACAATCATCTCAAACACATCAAATATTTTGTCTTCAGAAACTACATTAAAGTGTTAGAACAAATTTTAAGGTTTCAAAAATCTTCACAATCTCCAAACTTGAGTTTAATATTGTTAATCAAGAAATTACATACTGTAAACAAGACCATTGTAAATTTGGTGGACTTATGCAAAAATATGAGAAAATGTACTTTGACTGTATAGAGCATTTTCACTCACATGACAAGGCAGCCATATTGGTGTACCCAACAATAGAAACTACACAGTTTTTGCATTAAAATTAGAGTTCCATTGCCAGAAAATTGTTTTGGTACACCAACATGGCCCCTGTGACATCAGGTGAAAATGGTCTATATATAGCTGTTGTTCATTGGCTTAATTGTAGAAGCATGAAATCATTCTTTGAATCAAATGTTGTTTACACAATTTCTGTTTTTCTGGTTGGTCATGAGAGACTTGCCCCAAGACCTAAAACCAGTTACTTCAACTCGTTATAACATGATAATGTTGCTATATATTCATCTTTAAATTTTAAACTTTTGAGTGATATCTAATTTGATCATGGGATGAGGGCCACATGTTTGTTAGGCACTAGCTATGAAGTGCTACCCATTTAAAACTGCAATAATATAATATTACTTGCATCCAAAGTGAATAGAAATTATTTTCTCTATCATTATTGTCCAATAAAATGATATGCATTATGAGATCTCACACTATTTTTGGCCAAATCCTGCTGTGCTCCGTGCCTCAATTAACACCGTGCCCCAATTAACGCCAAGTAATGTTTAATATGTTGACCATCCCATCAGTGAATAGAACATTTGTGTTTCAGACAATCATAGGATATCTCAAACAAATGTTTTTGATAATGAATGTATATTGAAATCAGAACATTAGCTTTTGTTATTTTAGTTTGCTACTATTAGTATATATAGTTATAAGTGAATTCAATAAGATAACAAAATAAGTTGATTCTTTTCAGTCAAAATATATATAACATCAAATAATTTATAGATGAATTAATATTATTATAATTAATAGGTATAGAAAACTTGCACTACTATGGCATCCAGACAAAAATCCAGACATCAAGGAGGCAGCAGAGGAAAAGTTCAAGGAAATCTCAGAAGCATATGAAGTACTTTCAAATAGTAAGTGGCACGCCCAACAGCTATTTCCTATATTTAGTCTCAACCTATAAAAGGTCTATCAAAAATAACTGAGCTACTAGTGGTCTATCACAAATCTTGCACTCCGATTGGCTTAGCTTCTAGTGGTCTATCAGTGATTTTTGAGTACCAAAGCTGTGGTGGCTAACTTGCATTTTATAACTAATGTTTTCAAAATTTGTATCCATTTATTTGACTGATAAGTAGGTTTAAACTAAATGGTCTCATGGTCTACGAGTCAATATTCCATTCAGCCTTTGGCCTCATGGGCTATTGACTCGTAGATCATAAGTGCAAGAGGACTAATTGTTAATTAGATAGAAGGAAAAAATATAAACATGTTTTTTGTTTGCAATTACAGAGGAGCGAAGAGATATATATGACAGATACGGCAGGGATGGATTGACAGGAGGTATGTAGAACAGATAGATCATACATGTAGCTTATCATTAGCTTTAGTGCTCTAATGGGGAACAGGAGGGGGTGTCTGGGGGAATTAAAATTAGTAGGTAATCATCATGGCTAAAAATAACACCCAGTCATCAGACAATGTCCAGTTAGAATTGAAACTTGCCTGGTCAAATCCTTGCCTTGCTGGTCATTTTGACAACATTGATCCAGAAATGAGATATGACCGAGCTAAAACTAATTTGGCCGGTCATCATTAGCGATAACTTACCAGTCATTATTTTAAGCCCTGATAATAAGAATATTATTGGGTAATAGGGAGAAAGTTACCAGTTAAACAAATTACCCATTATGTTTACAAAGCCTATTATCCACGAATCAACACCGATTGCATTGGACCTTCATGTGAACTTGCACCTTGCTACCCATGAATTATTTTTTGGTGTTTTAGTATGAAGTATATGAATATGAATATGAATTAGGATATGAAACATTATAAGTATCAAAGTTGTTAATGAAAGTGAATTAAGATTGATCAATGTTTTTTCAGGTGGAGGAAGAGGTGCTGGCCCTGATTTTGACTTTGACTTTCATTTCCATAGACCTGAAGAAATCTTCAAGTAAGCTGGTTTACTTCCATAGATATAGAATATTAGTACAATTTGGTTACTTAGTGGTGTGCCTGCTAGGCAATTGGCATACAACAGACTACTTATATTAGGGCAGTTTCCACGCAACATCTTCCCTTGCCAATTTGTCTCAACCATGTTTATGCCGTGAGCGTTTCACAGTCATTTGAAAACTGCTGTAACAGTGGTTATTGCGTCCTTACAAAAAATTCCAAAACTATTTTTTGATCTACATTTTGTAATGTTGCCAGTGAAGTAGATACAATGTCATAAGCCCTGGACAATTTATTTCACATATCACATCACATTACATCACAATATCACATACAATATTGTATGGATTTATGAGGGAATAATCCCAGTTATATTAATCTGAATATTAAAAAATATATATGTTACTCATTTTAGGAACTTCTTTGGAACAAACGATCCATTTTCAACATTCTTTGATGGTAAGGATCGGTAAACTTGCAATAATTTTGCTCAAAATATTTTTGTTAGAATAATATTACATTAAGATTTAATACCTTGGAGTTACCTCTGAGGGGTGCAAACCATTTGTTGCCATTTCCACCAGAGCCACGCCTACCAGAGACTGCTAAATATGATGATCATCCAATGGAAATTTTCCAGCAAAATTGTCACTTGTCTGTCCAAATGCTTCTTTCACTGGTATCATTCAATGTTTTGTTCAATTTGGTCATCATGTTCAGTCTTCATTGAAAGACCTTTCGTAAGCCCTGCTCCGAAACCTTCCAAGGGACAAGTTAAGATTACACCAGTCCTTATTTACTTGCAACAACTGCATGGAAGCATTACGCACTAGTTCTACTTTTTTTGATTGGAGCGAGAGTTAAATCAATTGCTTATAACAATAAAGACGGACAATGAAGATTTTATGGGAGCCCCAACTCCACCAAGGGGTACTCCATTGTTCTGCAGTGTACTAGATCACTTGCTAACCAAGACTGTTTCTTTTATAGATGACATACCAGGATTTGGCAGTAGCTTTTTCTCAAGAAAGAAGAAAAATAATCCGAGTAATCGAAGGAATGAACCATCACATCATGGTAGTCTATTTTCAGATCCTTTTTCCGATCGTTTCTCAGATCCATTTGGAGGCTTTGGTTTTGGCTTCAGTAGAAGTTTTGGTCAAGATCCATTCAGTACCTCAAGGTAAGAAAGATAAAATGAAAAAAAGAAAGAAACATGGGAGTAAATCAATCAGCCCTTAACTGTCTACACTCTTAAGTCTGACTGTAAAGAAGGACCTTAAAAACGTTTCTCCAAAAGAAATAAAAACATAATAATTTAAAAGTGGATTTTTATGGAGGTAAGAAAACTGGAAAGCCAAATATAAAATAGTGCAAACAATTTTCCCATTTCTTTGTTTAATTCATATTTTTATGTAATCTATTCTTATCTTTATGCCCAAAACCGCTCATTAAAAAAACACACCTTCACCTCCAATTTTGAGCAAGTTGGCCAGAATGCCAGTCTAATTAATGTTCATTAGGTAACAGAAAATGTTTTCAAAAAACTGGAGAAATGTCCAAAATCCTAACAAAAAATTCATCAATCAAATTTTCAACATTCTGAATTTTAATTAACTGGAATCATAGCTACCTGTCTGGCATGGGCCATATTATTATGAAAATTGGTGTAAATACATACATACATACATACATTAACTTTATTTTATCTCAAATTTATAGAGTTAGCTACAGATAGCTAATTAATATCTCTGAAGACATTAATATAAATAAACAAATTATAATTAAAGAAAAGAAAAAATTAAAATACTGTTAATATAGAGTTCATATAATGTGTGAATATTCATGTTCTTACAGTAAAGTTAAAATTAATTTCTTTACAGCTTTGCTTCATTTTCTAACTTTGGAAATGGTGGAAATGGAGTTGGTGCAGGTAATATGCAATGAGTAAGCTAGTATACAGTCCTTTGACTAAATGTTGTCGTTGATCGGATCATCCCTACGTGCCTAGACTGAAAAGGATAATGGGTAAATTACCCAGAACTTGCATCATCCAAACTGCTCGCCAGTTTAAATCTTCGCCGTATGCTCGAGGCATGGTTTTAGGCACGTAGGGATGAAGCTGATCAAACGACAACGTTTAGTCAAAGGACTGCATACACTTAGTTGAAAAAACGTTATCAGTTGCAGATCTGAAATCTGAGAGCTAGCAAGACTCTTCAAATTATTGTAATATATTCACAGCCAAACAAAATAGTTGTTTTAGATTGGAAAATGAGGCAGGAGCATTGAGTTAGCAATGTGATTTTTTCTGATTTTAGCCACAAGACCCTAAGACAATAAAAATGCCAAAAATCCATTTAGTCTGGGATCACCCATTTAAGATCTTGGACCGACAATGTTTTTCAAAATAGGTATGCATACGCCTTGACAATAGTGAGTCAATCATGTTTTCCAAAGCCATTGTAAAATGGATGGAAGAAAGTAAAAATACGAATTAATTTGACCTTAAATATTGAGTTAAAGAATTTGAAATAATTTATGTGCCAGGTTGGTAAAATTAATAACATATGACTATTGAAAACGTTATTTATATATATATTCTTTTCCCAACAGCAAATGTAAGATCAACCTCTACTTCAACCAAATACGTTAATGGAAAGAAAATCACAAAAAAGAAGTAAGAGAGTTAGAAATTTGATTTCAGAGGGATCCCATTTACAGTGCAACTACTACTCCAACCAAAGCCACCTCGACAAATTTTCCACAAATTATCCAATAGTGTTTGAGTATTTAGACAATAGATTAGAGGCAAATTTTAAATTTAAATATTTTTCCGTTGTTCCGGTTGGTAAAACTAAATGATGAAGAAGAGCTTGTAATATATTTTCTTCACAAATTAGTGATTTGTGTCACCAAAGATATAGAAAAATAGTAATGTACGACTTCAAATACGACAGGAAAGCAAATTAGAGACCGTATAAAACACAGTCTTTATGATTACAGTTTGTTTCTTCCAGACAAAGATATTATCAGGCTGACACTTTTAGATCTTATCACTATGTTGCTATGCGACAGCATGTTTATATTCGACAACAAAGGTGCCTTCAGTCTTTTAAGCCATGTATTTGTCCGATTTGTAGCAATTCTATTGTTCAGATTCCTACTTTTAATTGGCTAATTTGTAGAAAATTTGTCGAGGTGGCTTTGGTTGGAGTAGTCGCACTGTAACCCATTAAACAAAGTCAATATTAAATATATTTATGTGTGATGCATGATGCAGGCTAAAACTTAATGTGTCATACTGTAAGACAGTGAAAATAGCAAAATGATGAGCATCATTTGTGAATTCTGGTTTGCCATTAATTATATATTTACCGTACGGTTTATACATAAATTTTAGAAATATTGAGGAGTGAAACGTGATTCCAAGTAAATTGGACAATGTTAAATTTACAAAATTTTTCTTTCATTTCAGGATTGTCGAAAATGGCAAAGAAACAGTAGAGGAATATGAGAATGACACATTGATAAAACGCATTGTCGATGGAACACCTCTGCAAATAACGCAGTAATTAAACAAGCTGTCATTGCTATATTCCGTGTAAAAAATAATTATAATAATATGCTGCAGGGTAAGGAGAAGTTGGTTTATAGATTACTAAGTGCATGAATCTAACCTTTATTTAGCCTTTAGATATCTAGATATAGTAAAAAGGATAGTATATTTAAAGAAATGATGTTTTTCTCTAGTAGTTTCATTGAAAAGTGGGTTTGATTGTGTAGAGATCGGTATGTTTTACCACTGAAGGAATGGTTCGAAGGAATGATTGTCATCTTATAGCCTAGTCACACAACATATATTCTCTAGTATGGTTTCCTTCATAAGATGTTTATGTAGATACATTTGTGAGGCTATATTTTATATAACATATAACTATTGAAAACACTATAATCATCAGATGGAATGCAAGCCTAATAGACCAGTTTCAAATTCCAAATTACCGTTGTGTTCCTTGATTACAGACTCATTCACAAAGGGTTAGCCTTGTATCAGTGTTAAAATATTCACAAATACCAACAGAAAAGTAAAGAATGCACAACTTTAACAATACAAACACTTTGAAACTTGACAGACCTTGACTGGAACACGTGAATATTCTGCACAAACTCGAGGCTAACCCTGTGCAAATGAGTCTGTAATCAAGAAACACAGGGGTAATTTTGAATTCGAAACGGGTCTATTGGGGCAGTAGATTTATGTATACATAGCATGTGATTTGATTTTTATGTACCACGTGAGAATGAATGAACATGGTTAAAGTGGCCATATAATGCTTGTTGCACTCAAACAATGCTCTCATCAAAAATATAATTCTAGTTTATAAAAAATTAGTTATAATAATTTTCTAATATATAATCATAATAATTCTGTTATCCATGCCATACCACTGACTGAAGCTATAGCTAGCATGCCTTAGTTCAAATTTCATTTAATAGATAATATTGCAGCTAATGACTTTAAGCTCAAAAAGTGCATAGAATAATATGCTTGCTTACGTTTATGTTTGCATGCCAATAATATTAATAATTTATAAGTAATGTGTATGTACCATATGAGTTGCACATTAAATGTTCTTTGTTATATTTAGTATGTTTGTAAATAGACTAGATTACTATTCCTGTCCATATTTACTTTCCTATCGTGTTTGTTGCCCAGGGTGATTTAGTCTTTCTTTATGTGCTAACAATTATTATGTACAGTAAGGATGCTCAATCCATGAACAGTTCAAGTTTTTTCCTGGTTATAACTTTCTATTGTTTCAAACCCTCTTTATGAAGCATTGAGTTCAAATACACCAAGTGATCAAAATAAATATTATTTCCAATCAATTGGCTCAAGGCTCAAGATTTACAGTATGCATTTGTGAAAAGTGATGAAAAGCTCAAAGTGTTCATGGTTTGAGTGTATATCAGTGAGTAAATTTCAAAGAATTTATAACTATACTGAATAAAAAATTTTCAGCAAGAGGGATGAGGATGATTCATTCCAAGAAACAATAGGCAAGTGCACTTTAATGTGATTAAATTAGTCAGGGATTAGGATACTTAGGTGGCTGTGAAACACCCTGTTATAAGTATGAAAAAGTCTAACCTAACATTAACAATGTTAATTTGCCAACCATTATCACTTT